ACTGAGTATGCTTATTGAGGCCACAGTTGGGCAGGTCTTCTGAGGATTACAGCAGAATTTTTATTATAACTGTGTTCCACTAAATACATAATGCAGTCATCTGAAAGCTATCTCATTTTTCACTGTATCTCTGTAGAAGACAATGGGCTTCAAGTTATACCTCATAGAAAGTATCTTTCACTAGTCATTTTAGTTTTATATTTATTTTAAAAATCTTTCTAACATTTAAAATAATTCTCAGGCTTGGTGGCATATGTGTATAAATCCTAGCACCCAGGAGGCTGATAAAGGAAGATTGAGAGTTTCCTTGGCTACAGAGTATGACAGTGTCTCAGAAATAATTTTTAAATTTCCACATATTCCACTTGTAAACACATTAGAAATGGGTTGAACAACTTTTTAGTATGCCATTAAATTTTATAGCCAAGATACTCACTTGAGTATCTTGTGAATAATTTTGTAAATCATTATCTCCAATTTCCATGATTCTCCTACATCTTTTATAGTAACAGTATGATGCAGTATTTCTTAAGCCCATTCATAAAGTATGCAATCCAAGTTTGTGGCTCTTGAAACATTTTTGAATGTGTGTAGAGTGGATCCATTTTTGTAACTTCATTTTGAAAATGTTGCTAAATACATGGGATTAGCAAAATCCATCACCCCTTTCTCCCAGATGTGAAAAGTGTGTAGATCTATTTCCCTTCAGGGTTTCTTCAAAGTCACTGTCACCCAGTCTGAAAGGCTGTGATTAGTGGTAGCTGATAATTACACATCTTGTGCAATTTATAAGGGCTGTAAAGACAGACATATCCCTACCTGGAATGGGAAGAGCCACTGCAATAGATATGAAATATATTTTTTTCTTATGTCTGGTTTTCCAGAAGTCAATCCTACAATGAAGAAATTGATTGTGGGAGTGATTACAGAAGAAGCACAGGGAGTGGTCAGATGTTGAGAGAGGAAAAGAAAACCTGACTACAGAGTCTCCACTAGAGACTCTAGACAGAATCTGGACAGAGAATTTTGGGCACATCTTGACAGAGTTAGTTCCATTTAGGCAAGAAGAGTATATTTGCACTCCAACATTTGATGTCTTTGGCTGAGGATATCAGACAAAGTGAAGGGTGTGTGGTTTCCTGTGAGGTAGAGCATGTTTCGTCAAAATATTAAAGACTGTGGTCACTGCTTGTTAGTCATTTGAACTAACACAATAAATAGAAAATGGCCAGTCCACCTCAGAAAGTAAACATGGAAAAGACACTAAGAGAATCCAACAGTCTACACATTTCACAACCCAGATCCCATTTTACTCATACGAAATTTACTCATCTAAGCACAGTTTTTCCATGATTCTGACTTGTCATAATTTCTGGTGAAGCTTGTAACAAGATGCTTAATGGGGAAAATTATGGCACTGTATGTGTGGTTGATCTGGAGACTATCACTGATGTCTGACATCATCTCTCTTCACCAACATTTCTGTATCTTCCTTCTTGTTAGTTGGTAGTGCTCTGGATAAGGGTAACTTCTTTATTGTGGTGACTCAAGATGTAGCATGTGTTGGGTTAAAAACAAAGTTTCCACATTCTTATATGACCATAACTCTATTTGCCAAAATTCAGTTAACACTGAACCTGTGAGTGCTATGCAATTTATTCATTTAAATACTCACCATATACCCTTTTGCTCTCCTCTTACAGACCACGAACCTTCCTATGATGATTAGAGTCACTTACACATATGCCACTGTGCTCTACTGCCAAAAAAATGATAACCAAGCTTAGTTATTTTATGTTGAATAGGAATATTACAATACATCTTTTCTGCAAGCCAGAATATCCAGGACAGTTCAGCCTAAAATCATGGTCACTTGAATTGATGGTTACTGGTATGTTCCATTATTATCTTCAAACAACTGTAGTCTCTGTGTAGACAATGAACCACATAATAACCACTGATTGAAGATATTTACCTTCCATGGTACAAATGCCATCTCTAAGCTATTACCTCAACTGAAATGTGGGGAAGTGTTAGATTTTGTTAACCAGTTTCTCTATAATGTGAAACCAGGGGATGACATAATTACAGAAATATCACTGATACTCTCTCTGTTGGAAATTGAGTCCCTAGGTCTATAATAACATTATGTAGCATGTCATGTTAGAATTAAGACATTCTAAAAAACTTTGGATAGTGTGTGGACCTAAGATACTTCAGGCAAGAAAGGTGTGTCTACATCTATGATAAATGTCACTTCAATCATGATGAAAATTACCTGCTAAATTATGAATTATACTTAATATTTTATCTTGACAATCATGTCTGTGACTAGAAGGTGGAATATTTAGCAATGGCAACAGCTACTTCTGCCTTATGAAAGGGAGCAAACACAGCTAGCATTTTTATAACATCCATCTTATACCAAAGTAGTGACTCCATTAGTGAATTATTGCTCAAGTATGGAGCTAGCTGATCACATAGGCAGCTTTGCATGTGCTGGATGAGTCATTCTATTCATGTGAATGTTTAATGCATCTTCTGCACTGGATATTCTCAAGTAAGCACTACTCTGTGATATAAATAATTTCGTTACCAATAGCTCCAGTCAATAGTCAATGTCAAAAATATTCTACATGACCATAGGGGCTCCATACACAGTCTGGTTTTCTGACTATTTTCTCTTGGATTCGAATTCCTCAGAAACTCAAACTCATCATGTCTTCTAGACACATCTATATATGGATGATGAGTTTTGTCTTTTGTATAGTTTAGGGAATAAAACTGAGCACTTGTTTAGTATCTTTTGGGATGTTTGTTTGTTTGTTTGTTTGTTTTTTAAACTTTAGTTATCAGATGGTCATGTCAGGGTCCAAACACTCTTTCATCACCAAAAAGAGAAAAGTAGTTCCTAGAAAAAAACAATGTGGAACATATGCCTATCTATTTCCCTCCTTTGCTCAGTCTTCCATTCAATCTTGATGCTTTGTTTCCTTGAATTGAAATACAATTTAATCTTTTTTGTAGACAACCTATGTAACGATAGACAAAAGGAAGACCATAACGTTTATTCTTTTGGAAGTGAACAGTATTGTCATGCTGTGTCTCTGTGGTTTTCCTTTTTAGGCATGTAAGTTTATGTGAGCATACCTAAGTACATACTAAATGACATAGTACATGCATGTTTTTTCCTAAGTTGATATGACAGTCATTAAAAGACATCTCTAAATTTACTTGAAAAACACGAATCATCATCATTTTAACAATCAATTCACATTGTCTAACAGCTGAATTCACTTCTTGTTTTGTATTTTTGGGAGTAGTATGTGGTCCTCCATGAGAGTTAAACATTGATCAAATAAAAATCATAGCCATATTTCTTCTTGAATTTCCATCTAAATTTATCTTTTTACTTAATTTGAGTAATACAATTATAGGGAAAAGTGGCACTAATTACTTACACAAGTTCTAAATAATTTTTTTTTTACCATTTTCCGTGGTTGGGAAGACATGTTGCACTACCCCTTATCCTCACTTAACAGGACAGTTTCTTTTTCAGACATTCAGTTCCTTGCTTATTAAATCTGAAGTCAAATATATACAAGGCTTATTTTGATCTCTGGAATTATAGCCTTCCTTTGGATTAGAAAGCTCTAGGTTAATAAGACACAGGTAAATACCTACAGATGTTAGTGAAAGCTTATGAGAAGATGTTGAGTCTTATAAAGAAACTTCTGTATACAAACCATTGTGTTGAGCCCATGACCCTCCATAAAAGCACACCCATTCAAGACAAAATCCCCCTACTCATTTCCCTTCCACCTGTAAAACTTCCCTGGCATTAGCCTATCTATATCAGGCATATATTACATCATCTTTGTCCTTTCACCGTGTCCAAAAGAAACACATCTGATATCTCCTAAATTCATTCATGTATTCATGCAAGAAACATACTCATTGTGCAGAGGACTGGAGTCCCACTTTGCTGGTGTGTTCTCATGACTTGCAATTTCTCAGGGAGCCAGTAGTGGGTAATTACTCAGGCTGGACTGCTCTAGTTCACTTTGGACTGTGTTTTTCTTTACTCAAAATTCAATTGAAGAGATTATTGAGGTCTAAATAAAACGTATACACCCTAGTCTAAATCCATACTATTAATATCATCATCTTTATACAATCCATATTGGATAGAAAAACTTGACAGCAACTATCAAGTCCTCATTTATATTCAGTTCGATGTTAGCCAATGGTTGTGTTACTTTGACATACTTATCCATTATTCAATTTGTAATAGATATTCATAATCATACTTTTCTCATGGACATAGACAATTATTATTATTATAGCAAAGTCCACCACCATACAAAACTTTTTCTGAATCCATGCTAAGTAGTCAATATTTGGCATATTTAAATGTTAGTTATATCTTGTGAGTGCTTGGGCTTGAAATAAAGATGCTTAAAATCAGACAATGAAAGAAAATGAGAGACCTCTAGAATTTCTAGAGTTGATTCTAGAAAAGAAGATTTGGTGTTTGATGTAGCTCTCTGATAACATAGCACTCTTAAACAGTCTTGAGGATCCACAGTTCAACCACATTTCTGGGATCAGGTCTTCACACTGACAGCTCAAAGTATTGGTGCATAAGATGAGACTCCGTGGAAATAATGCACCGAGATGCTTCATGCTTTAAATTTTCATTAATGTAAGAACAAAGTCACCTCCAACATGCCGACCAGTACAAAGGAAGAAAAGTCCTGTGTTATGGGTTTTAGATGTGAGCTATGTTGAAACAGGTATGTATTTGGGAAGGCTTGTAGGACAGAGAAAAATAAGGAAGAGTCCACATGTAGCTGGGGTACATGCCAGACCTATGATGGTAGATAAGGTGACAGACAAAGGCAGATCTGAAAAACTAGAAAAGCAAAGAAAGGACTATAAGATGTGCATTTTGGTTCTGTTTCTATCCCTGTTCTTCTTTCCTCTTTTCTTTATACTAGGGGATTTGACACATAATGACAGTGACCTCTGAAGTATTTACTTCTTACTTCATATATCTTTGAGCCCACACATGAAGAAATCTTCCTCTGCATCTTGTCTCTGGAATTGAAGTTGCCAATTTCCTGAAGACTTTGGACATGTACCATCTCTCAAGGTTTGGAACATATGTTAAGGCACTACTGATGGTGTTTTAAAGAAAGGAAAGAAACTCAATAGATAAGGTGCTTTGGGTCTTAGTATAACCAACCTGGTAAATACAGACACTAAAACAAGATGAAACCTATATGTAAAATAGCCAATGATATCAAAGCATGTTAATTTACCTGAAAAGGTGACTCATTTTCAGCCATAGCAGCAAGTAAATCACAGGTATTGTATAAAACCTACAAATGATCCATGGCAATTTCAGATCAGTAAACACTCTATAGTATACTGGGCATCGTGTGACAGAATCTTACTTGAAGAAATCACCTGAGATGAAACAGTTCTATGTCAGTAACTACCTTTCCATAGTGGAAACTCAATACATGTTTAGTGGGTCCTGGCTCTTTATGTCCACCAATCTTAAACCTCATGCATCCTCAAACCTGTACAATTTTAATTGTTTTTTTCTGTTCAAGGAAATTGCATCTGGTGAGAAAATTTATTTGGAGATTAGTAAGCAACAACATCATCTTTCTGTTCTGGCTTCTTTTTATATCACTGATTCAATTCAGCCATTTTGTCAGATGTGTTTATCCTGGAGTTATAAGCCATCTTGAGTATAAACTGTCAAGTCTTACCTCTAATAATGCCATTACAGAGTCTGGTGCTCTGGTCTTAAGAAACAATTATGCTGGTAGATATAATATAGATGATATCATGGACAGATGTTTCTCTTGCAAAAGCAAGTAACTGGGCAATTTTGAATTAAGAAGTATAAACTGTCAAGTCTTACCTCTAATCATGCTATTATAGAGCCCGGTACTCTGATCTTAAGAAATAATTATGTTAGTTGATATGATGTAGATAATGTCATAGAAAGATATTATTTTTGTAAGCACAAGTAACTGGAAGATTTTTGGTGAAGAACTACAAATGCTAATTGAGTTGAATCACAGTTAAAATGGAAAAACTGTATAATGTGTGCTTAGCTATACGAATGCCATGAGCATTAACTAGGAATAAGTGTCTTCTAAATATTTGCTTCATTATAACCAGAGAGGAAGGAGCCAAAAACTTTAAAGTATTCTTGTTCTCTTTCTCAGATATAGAAGTCTTCAGAAAGAGAAAATACTAGAGTCCACCCCCCCCACACACACACACAAAATAAAACTACATTTCTTCTGTCCTCTGGGAGATTTTAGTAGACAACACCCATCAACTGCTGCAGGGAGATTGAAAAGTCAAGCAATGCATGCATCAATGCTTATTGGAGGAGGCAGGCCTAAGGCAGACTATAGCAGCTCATGGTCGGTCACCCTGATTCCTTCTGGAGGAAAACATCCTCTGGCTTTTTTTAAAAAACTAGAAGTAGAGATGTATGGCAAACAGAGAATAAAGTCAACTGTGGAATATAGTCACATATATCACCCATGTGTAAATAATATGAACTATTCAGATAACTAGGATCCCACAATCCTGTAGGAGTGGGAATTAGCCAACAGTGATTATACTGTAAAGAAGACATAAAAGAAGCTGGTGGGGTGATTTGCTACAGAGGAGGGATGATACTGTTCTTGGTAATCAGTGATGTACCCCTGGGACTTTTTATCGGAGAGAGAGAAAGGCAGAATGCTTCATGTCTTGTGGAGAGCGGCAGAACTGAAGAGGCAAAGACTGTGAGGAACAGACTAAGGTGGGAGGCCTGCTTGCCACCCAGGACCATGGTGATGTCCGGTTCTAGGCTACTGTCAAGGGCCATGTCTGGGTCCACGGCCCTGCCACAGCCGTAGTCTGTGTTGATGTCCATAGCTCCTGTTACCAACAAAGGCAGTGAGGTCTGGGGTCTGGGCCACTACATGAGGCCACATTGGTTCCAGAGGGCCATGCTACCACAGGGGCCATTCTAATCTGGGTGGCCTGAGCTGCAACCCAGGGCCATGGAGTTGACAGGGCTTGAACTGCAACCGAGGGCCGTGTCTGGGTCTGTGGCTCTACTGAAGCCAAGGTCTACGTTGATACCCATGGTACCTGTTACCATCGAAGGTCATGTGGATGTCCAGGGTCTGGCCCCCATTCGAGGACATGTTGGTGTCTGAGGGCCACCCTACATCTGGGGTGGTGCTAATCTGAGTGGCCTGTACTGCCAGTCAGGGCCATGGTGACATCCAGGCCCAGGCTGCTGCTGAAGACCATGTCTGGGTCTATGGTCCTACTGTACCCTGGGCCTGTGTTTAAGTCCATGGCTTGTGTCACCACTAAGGGCCACATGGATGCCCAGATTCTGGGCCACTGCATGAAGCCACATTGGTGCCCAAGAGTCATGCCACTTCAGGGGCCATCCCATTCTGAGTAGCATGCACTGTCACCTGTCGACTGGGCCTGAGCTACTGGCAAGGGCCATGTCTGGGTCTGTGGCCCTATCACAGTCAAGGTCTGCATCGATATCAGTGGCTCCTGTTACCATTGAAGGCTATGCAACTGTCTAGGGTCTAGGCTGTCACAAGGCACCATGCTGGAGTCTCGGTACCAGCTGCTGTTGGGCCCATGCTGATCAATGGAGCCTGCACTGCTACCCAGGGCAGTGGTGACATCTGGGCTCAAGCTGATGCTGCTGGCCATGTCTGGGTCCATAGTCCTGCTTCAGCTAGGGTCTATGTTGATGTCTGTTGCCCATGTTAACAAAAGGGCCCATTATGTACCAAGTGTTGAAGCAAGTAATAAATACGAGGGTGGTGCTGAGCTGGTCCTAACCCTCACTGGAGAGCTAACCCTGGCCCTCAAAGGCCCTGGAATAATGAACCCTCATCATGCGTTTGGGAGAGCTGGCTCCACCTCTCACCTGAGTGGGTGGTCCCAGCGGTGGGTCAGAACAACCCAGCCAACACTCACATCCACATCCAGGGCTTTGAATGGGCACTCCCCAACATCTACCCAATCTGTAACCTACTGAGCAGTGTTACCAGTAATGCCAATAATAATTGGCGGTTTTGGTAACTGACTAGTTCCTTTAATAATTGGAGCCCCAGACATAGCATTTCCACATATAAATGATATAAGCTTCTGACTTTACCACCATCATTTCTTTTACTACTAGCATCATCTATAGCAGAAGCAAAACCACCAAGTTTAACTTCTGAATAAGGACTGAAAGACATTACCTTACATCTAATGAATGCAAATCAATTGCTTTAATTAAGCTAAATCCTCATCTAGATTGATAGGAATCAAACTCATGAACTTTTAGTTAACAGCTAAACACCCTAAACTGGCTTCAATCTACTTCTCCTGCTTATCAGAAAAAGGGTGGGAGAAGCCTCAGTAGAGTAAATTATCTACACCTTTGAATTTGTAGTTCAACAAGAATATCACCTTAAGGCCTGGTAAAAAGAGGGCTCAATCTCTGTCTTTAGATTTACAGTCTAATGCTTACTCAGCCATTTTACCCATGTTACTACTGTTACCAGTGAAGGGACTGGTCCTATAGAACCATAGCAGCAGGATCTCTATGGCTAGGGGCAACTGCAGGATTTCCCAGAGTAGTTTCCATGAAGGACAGTATTAATGGTGTACCAGAAGCCTTGAACCTGACCAACAACACATTAAACAATGAAAAATTTCCAAGTAAAGCTGTGTGGACAAAAGGATATACTACACAATACATAGCAGCTCCCAATGCCACCAAGATGAACGAAGAGGTGATGGAGAGGCAGGAAAGATGGAGGATCAAAGCATTTTCCTTCTTGTTTGCTTTTATTTTGTTTTGTTTTGTGTGTTTGTTTGCTTTGCTTGTTTGTTTTTAAAATTAATATTCTTATTTGCATTTTTATTTTTATCTTTTTTTATTATTTCCTTATTAGTTTTCCTTTAGTGGGGGACACTTCCAGGGTGAAGGTCAGACATGGAGGGACTTGGAAATGAGTGGGATTGGGGTGGATGATGTGAAATTCCCAAAGAATCTAAAAAAACATGTTAAGAAAAAGATACATCCTTAATGGCCAGCTCCTACAGGTGTCCTGAGTCTGTTACTTGCATCCCAAGGGGTCTGCTCTGCCATTCTTTCCTCTGTATCTTCAATCACAAAATTATTCTAATCAGTATTAACATACAGTAATAATAATAACAATATCTCTAAGTGTTCAATAAAGTATGTATATACAGAATATAAAAAACCTAAAACCCATACTAAGAAGAGAACTAACAAAAGGGAAAAATTAACACAGGATTTGAATGGACACTTCTGAAATGTATTTGGGGTGCTCTGATTGAGTAATGTGACTTCACAAATCATTAAAGAAATGAAAATTAGTAGTCCAGTATAACTTTAAAGAAGTTACTGAATGATGGTTAAAAAAATATTCAGTAATTACATTACTTATAAAATGCTTCAAAAAATATCAGTTGCATTATACTTATGAAATGTTTCAGAAAATGGCAATTTTAATTCCTTGGCTACAGTTACTTTAAAATCCATGTTTCCAAGTGTGGTGGTTTGAAAGAAAATGGCCCCCAAAGGGAGTGGCACTATTAGGAGGTATGGCTTTGTTGGAGTAGATGTGACCTTGTTGGAGGAAATGTATCACTGTGGGGTGGGCTTTGGGGTTTCCTATGCTCAAGCTATGCTCAGTGTGGACACAGATTGCTTCTGCTCCCTGTAGATCAAGATGTAGAATTCACTGCTTCTTCTCCAGCACCATGTCTGCCTGCATGCCATCATGTCCTGTCATGATGATAATGAACTAAACCTCTGAAACTATAAGCTAGCCTCAATTAAATGTGTTTCTTTATAAAAGTTGTCATGGTCATGGTGTCTCTTCACAGCAATAGAAATCCTAACCAAGACATCTATGATCTGTCAATCTCTTTCCTATATGTAGGTCCCATTATTAAAATCTTAACACATGTTCATCAAATCATGTAGTAGAAAATAAATGACTAGAATATAGAACATTAAGAATAACACAAGCATTCCTGCTTCCAATTGTCCAACACAGTAAACTATAGAAATTTCATTCAACCCCAATAATGGATGAATAAATAGCTGTGTATACAGAGAAAATAAAAACTGTCCTGCAAAAGAAAATCCTAGAAGTTCTCATAAAGAATGAATGATTTTCTGAGAGGTGAGGGAGGTCAAATTCAACTACTATTAGACATGAAGAAGCGTTCCTCCTGAGGACACAACACTTTAAAGTTATATATTAGCATAGGATCCTCCCCACAGGGCCTTACACTATAGGATCAGATAATAGCATCTCCAGACTCTAAAATTTCCATATACACCCCAGTACCTTCTGCCCAGTGATGGCACTGCCCATAGTGGACAGGGCCTTTTCATATTATCATCAATCAAGAAAATGCCTCATTGGCTTACTATAGGCCAATCTGATGGAAGCATTTTCTCAAATGAGGTTCCCTCTTCTTCGGTGATTCTATCTAGTGTCTAGTTGAAAAAAAACAAAAAACAAAGCAAAATAAAACAAAACAAAAACTAGCCACTACTCAAAGCAATTAAATTTCTTCTCACACTAACCAAATAAACAACCAGGTAAGGAAACAAAAAAACAAAAAAAAGTACATTTTTAACACACACACACACACACACACACACACACACACAAAATTAGCTGTGAAGTAGGAAACTTGTCACTTATCCCAATGACATCCTGTCCATAAACTGCATAGATGTAAATTGTCTTCCTACACAGTTATTAAATGAATTACCTAATGAAAATACCATCTACAAAGCACAGAGCAGGATAAAAATACAACACAATATTAAAATTAAATCTCCTCCAGCAAGCATTAGAGGATACTTATGAACAGATTAAGAGGTTCATATGTTTAAAAGTAAACAAAACTTGATTCAGCTCATAGTAGGGAGGGAAGAGGAAGAGAGAGGAGAAGAAAAGTGAAGGAAGAAGAAGAGGTGGAGGAGGAAGGAACGAACAGGGAGGGGGAAAGAAAACAAAATTATATTAGCTATGTCTCAATTATAAAGCATCCCAAAGAGAAGAGATGAAAAAGAACTTTAATCATGGATGTCAGTAAATTAAAAACCAATGTCACTAATACAAAGAAGGCTAAAACAGAGAAAAAGGAATAAAGCACCAGGAAAAATGGGAAAGAGGCTGAACACACCGATTTGCAAGGGAAATGTTTGAAGTGGCCTTTACTTTTACATTTATCTATCTATCTGTCTGTCTATCTATCTTTATTTATTCACATTCATTTATTTTTTATTTAAATTAATTAATTTATTTATCTATTAATTAATTAATTATTTTTTTATTTATTTGAAAAGGGTTTCCTTGTGTAGCCCTGGCTGTCCTGGAACTCACTCTATGAACCAGGCTGGCCTCAAACTCACAGAGATCTTCCTGCCTCTGCCTCCCGAGTGCTGGGATTAAAGGAGTGGGCTACCACCACCCAGCCTCATTTTTATTTGTAACAAGGGAAAGAAAACATATTCATTGGGATCTGTTTTGAAGCTGTCGAAGTGGCAAAACCTGAAAGGGTTCACAGCCCCCTGCATTCTCCAGACATTGAGATAACACATAGCGGAAAAAGGAAAAAAGACTAAGTGAAAGACAGACAAAATCTTTGGGGACCAGCTACAACTAATGACCTATCTTGTCAAAAAGACTTGTGATTGTTGTGCAACCATTTCCTGTACTATTCCTGTGATTTCTGTAAGTTTTAAATTATACTGAAATAATTTTTAAGTAATAACTCTTGAAACTGAATGAGCTTATTGAACTGAATAAGCTTATTAAGAATAAAGTCTATGGGATGAATAAGCATGTAGTCATTCAAGATATTTATAAAAAATTATAATACCAGAATGTAATTTTCAAAGCATAATTATATTTATGATGGAAATAATTCGGCTAGGTTTGAAATAATGATTGAAGATTGTGTTGTTGGCTGTAACATTTTGGGGTCACATTTGCTTTTGTCCTTTTGTTCTAGCTCCAAAATTAGCATAAATTAGCATGTCCTGCTTTTCTAAGAAAAGAAAAATTTTTTAAATTACTCAGGTGTCCTTTATGCTGTCCTTCTTGGCTTAAGTATGTGTACCTGGAATGGCAGGGGAAGTCACTATAGAAAGACTTTTTTTTTCTACAGAGCAACAGCGACTATCAACTTCTGGAAAATGTCTCTCTTGAACTGGAGAGAATGCAGTTGTACTTTCCGGTAAGACTTTTTTTGGACTGCCAGCTTCCAAATAATGACATGGAGACTTCTTATTAATTATAAAAGCTTGGCCTTAGCTTAGGCTTGTTCACAACTAGCTCTTATAACTTAAGTTAACCTGTTTATATAAATCTACTTTCTGCCACATGGCTCAGTACCTCTCCTTCATACTGTGTGTCCAGCTTCCTTAGGGTCTTGCTGGCATCTCCCATGCACCTAGATTTGTCCCCAGAGTTCCTCTCTCTGCCTGAAAGTCTTGCCTAATCTCTCCTACCTAGGTATTGGCCATTCGGGTTTTTATTAAACCAATCACACCAAGTGGCTCTAATGTCATGATGGAATGGACTTGTGAGCACGAGTAACGACAAGTAGGCTTCCTTCTTCTTCCATGTCCTTTATATCAGCTGCCAGCATATCAGCTGTCAGCAGAAGGTGTGACACAGGTTAAAGGTGGGTCTTCACCTCAAGAGATATGGATTAAAGGTTTTCCCACTTCAAATTATTTAAGTAAACAAACATCCCTCACAGATATACCCAGCTTTTGTTTTAACTTCGACACAGCCTGGCAAGAATTCTGCTCCCACAGGCACCCACCCTGTCACTGCCCCTAAAGGTAGCTTTAACTAAATCTCTATCATTCTAATTATGAATAAGACTCGAGACTCAAAGCACAGGGTGAAAACCTGTGAGCTCAGAGAGGCTCAGTTGCAACTACCTAACCCTTTCTCCTTGCTGGCATCCATGGAAGACCCATGCTTCTGCTTTACCAAACCAGAAAAGGCTGCACCACTCCATTCCCCACCCTAATACTTCCTGTGACTCTATCTCTCCCAGATGCCCTCTGAGGCTCTCTGATTACTTTCTATCAACTCGTTGCTAACTCAGCCTCCTGACCTAAGATTAATTTCACTTACTTAATGCAAATGCAAACTCAGGGTGCTCAGTGTGATCGAATATCCCCCAATATTTCCAGCTTTTTGTCTAAATAAAACTATATACAAGAGGAAGAATTATCAGATATTGTCTAAATATAAAGGAAAAGGTATTAATTTTAATAAATGAAACTGTATACAATAAGAACAATTATCAAGTAAGGATGATATTCACAAGGTCCAGTCCATTTGTATTGGGCAAATTCAGAGAAACTACTCTATTATCTACCCTCCTTTGTTGAGTCCAAAGTTCTGTACCTAATTTACTTTTTATTCTAACTTGTATTACCAACCCAAAACTATCTTCTTGGAACTCAAAACATTTTCTTAGAAAAACAATTTAAGTTTTTATGTCTCTCAACCTTATATACTTTATACCTCTTTTGTGAATTTCTTTTCTGAATTTGGTAACAAGGAAAATTATAACTTATAATTACCTCATGTTTTAACTCCATCAGAGACCAGAGAAGGGTTTAATACTACCTGAGTAAACAGGAAGTACAGAGGAAGCAACTTCCAAAACTATAAAAATGACAGAAGCAGCTGACTTCCTGGACAGTCACCCAAGGTTTCTCTGCATTATTGGGACATCCATCTTCAGCCTACAGGCCTAGAATATCAGACAGACTTTTCTGTAAAGCAGAAATTTTGAAGGACTGTCCTACCTTTTCTTGCCAAAGTTCAGCAGTAACCTTCTTTTGTGTCCTACTTGTCCAATTTGGATAACATACTGTCAGTAGTTGAGGCAAGGGCAGTTTCTTACCCAGTGGCTAACTTTGCCAGAAATGAAAGCAAACTCCATATGGAGGTTCTTTGATGCCCATCATTTTCTCTGAAGTATATTGGTGGTGCCAGGAGCAGATGTATCTCACTGTCATGAAACATGTATGTTATTAAAATATTTTAAATGCCACATCTATGAAGTGTTTGAAGATGACCTACAAATGTATGTTTAACCCTGAAAACATACCTAATATGACTACAAGTTTTATTGTTATATATAACTAACTACTAAATTGTGTTTTTAATTATCTTAAACAGTCATGTTAAAACAAAAATAACCTTATATTTGTATCAATACACAAAAGTACTATAAACAAGAGTAGAAACATATATAAAATATAACAAAAATAACCTTAAATTTCTATCAATTTATACAAAAATCCATACTAATGTAAAATATTTGATACTAGTAGTTGCTTCTTAGTTTTTTTTTTTTTTTTTTTTTTTTTGGTTTTTCGAGACAGGGTTTCTCTGTGCAACTTTGCGCCTTTCCTGGGACTCACTTGGTAGCCCAGGCTGGCCTCGAACTCACAGAGATCCGCCTGGCTCTGCCTCCCTAGTGCTGGGATTAAAGGCGTGCGCCACCACCGCCCGGCTGCTTCTTAGTTTTAAGTAGAGTCAATATACCCCTTTATCCTATCATTCCAATATTACCCCTATTTTCTTTTCAGAAAGAAGTCCCTTCATCTAACCTCCTTTACCTCATTTTTTTCCCCTGACCATGACCAGTAACAACTTTCAACTAACCCCTGTAAATGGTGATACTCATCCATAATCCACTGAATGACCAAAAACGCCCACTCCACCTCATCATGTTCTTAAAATTACTTCCTGTCTGGAGCAATGGTATTTTTAGGGAACCCCGAGAAAATTGAGATAATGGTCAAGCCCTGGGAGAGCTAGCTGTTGTCCATTCTTGGTGTGATGGACAAGTGCAGGGCCTATCTGAAGTCCTGGCTGAAGTAATCTGTGAGGTTGGATCATCTCAGCTAGCAGTTTGAGGATGTCTGGATGCAGATTTTCTGAGGAAACTGCAACAGAGGATCTCTGTGAGGCTGGATCACCTGGGCTATTTGTCTTTATTGGTGTCTGGTCTTTTTCTGAAAACATACAAACTTTTAAAGGTAACATATATATCTGCACTAATATGCGTATGAAATGTGTAGTGTGCACAAATAAGCTAAAGATGATTCTCTGTTCTATGTTTGAGCAAATAAAAGGCATCTGTCAACTTTAAAAGTCTGTTTGGACTGCATAACCAAACTATAATATAAATCACCATGCATGCCATATGAAGGCATAGCATGTAATAAGTCATGAGGACTCTAGCAAACAAGATTTATCATGTCTCAAACAGTCTCAGAGCTGTTCCCATGTAGAGGAATCAGCTTATACATCACCTGTCTTGTAGTTTTTCTTGGTTTCTTTCTTCATGTCTGCAGGCAAAATTTTCAGATCTCCACTGATCAAATCTGGTCCTTTTTAATTTTGAAGGAATCCATAGATTTTTTTTCCTATGGAAACAAAGGCATAACCTTTTCCCTAGAGCAGCAAATTTTCTGACTTCCATTCTAAATTTAAGACATCTTTAAAATATATAGACTGGTTTAACTCAGTAGTTTTTTTTTTTTCCATAATCCAATATCTCTCAATAGTTGTCACTTTTTGTTCATTAGCATTTAAAAACTTTTAAATTAACAAAGCACTACATGTGGCCCAAGCTCTGGGTCTTAACCTATTTTCTTTTCTTTCATTTTCAAGTATACTGTACCTGTTTAGTCCGGGTGTTACTAGGTGCCTGATCTGTTCTCCGACCATATGAACAAAACCTTAAATGGCCAGGCCACCTGCTGCACAGCTCTGCTTGGCACATGGTTGCTGTGGAATGTTCTGTATGGCAAATGTGTTGCTAATTAGTTAATAAATAAAACACTGATTGGCCATTGGCTAGGCAGGAAGTGTAGGCGGGACAAGGAGGAGAATAAAGCTGGGAAGTGGAAGGCTGAGTCAGAGAGACACTGCCAGCCGCCAGGATGAGAAACAGAATGTGAAGATACCGGTAAGCCACGAGCCATGTGGCAAGGTATAGATTAATGGAAATGGATTAATTTAAGCTGTAAGAACAGTTAGCAAGAAGCCTGCCACGGCCATACAGTTTGTAACCAGTATAAGTCTCTGTGTTTACTTGGTCGGGTCTGAGTGGCTGTGGGACTGGCGGGTGACAGAGATTTGTCCTGACTGTGGGCCAGGCAGGAAAACTTAAGCTACACATGGTGCTGGCAGATGGCTCCTCCCCCTTGCAGTTCCTGGGGCTGTGGTGGGAGCAGCACCTAACCATCCCAGCTCTAGGAAGTTGTAGCGTCCATGCTGTAGCCTGCATTTGTACCTGGTGCCAAGTACACAGGGTTCACGTGCAAGGCGTACAGTAGGGCCTCTTAAAGGAGCTGCACCTAGTACACCGTGAACACAGGGCTGGCTAGAGAGAAGGCACTTCCTAAGAAGCTGTGTCTGGCTCTGTGTCCAGCACTTTCTTTCCTTAGCTTTCTCAAGCCCTATGTGGATATATGTCACCCCATGTTGGGCACCAATTGTAGCTGGACTTTATTGTCAGACTTTCTTTGAACCGCCAGCTCCCAGATCATGATATGGAGAAGAACAGAGAGATTTCAAATTTGGGTTAATAAAGCCAAGTGGGAGTCATTTTCCTATCTCAGTTCTGTCTGGCATTCACTACAAGATTTGGGGTTAGTGAATTTGTATTTGTTATTTGTAGCATGAATCTTAAAGGTCTTATTAATAAAAACAAACCTGGAGCCAGGTACTGGGGTCAGCGCTGGAAGATCACAGACGCAGAACAAGCCACAGCCACCTCACCTCACCAATTCCTCAGCTGATCCTGTTTCCTCAGACTGGAAGCCTCTGAGTCCTCATCCAAATGGATTTCAGCTGAACTGCTGCTCAAAAACCTAAAAGCTTAACCAGCTCTAGTTCCTGGTCCTCATGCCTTAAATACCCTTCTGCCTTCTGCCATCACTTCCTGGGATTAAAGGTGTGTGTTACCAAGCCTGGCTGTTTCCAGTGTGGCTTTGAACTCACAGAGATCCAGACGGATCTCTACCTCTGGAATGCTAGGATTAAAGGTGTGTGTGCCACCATTTTCTGGCCTCTGTATCTAGTGGCTGTTCTGTTCTCTGACCGCAGATAAGTTTATTAGGGTGCACAGTATTTTGGGGAACACAATATCACCGCAGTTATTCTTCTTTTTGCTATGAGAAAATACCTGAA